TAAACTTTAAGAATGCTTCTCGTTAGTAAAAGCCAATACACTGAATAGAACACAGCCCATGAAATAATAATTTTAGCCAAAGGGACCAAAAAATATACTGGGTCCCGTTGGCTAAAATAAAAATTTCTCTAATGTTAATGTAACAGTGTAATTTAACATGTGCTAACGTTGTGTGGCTCAACGGTCGTGTCTAACGAACGTTTTTTAGTTTACAGTATACTGAGCTGTGGATCGAGTTGACAACCTTACCTGCCACCACTTTTGCGCATTGCCCCTGTGCCATAAAATACGTTAGCTATCTAGTTAGCTTAACTAGCTCCAGCAGTCTTACCGATGACCTTCTTATCCCCCGCGGAAGCTGCGGCTGCCGGGCTGGATGGGCTCTCCGCATCGGCAGCAGGCGGCGGCGGTTGTTGCTGTGTCTCGGCCTCGCTGCTCATTGTTACTTGTTGGTAATGGCTTCAGCCGGCGGCGGCTCTTTGCTATAGTTCCCGGTGCTAGATGGTAACCTGGGCCGGCGGTGGTGGGGGCTACTGCCTTCGGGCTCTCTGCTTTCCTCTTTCCGCTCCCGTTGCCGATCGAACTGGGCAGAATGAGATGAGGTGCCGGAGAACGTTCCTACTCGGAGGTCCGCCCAACTGCCATTCTAATTGGTTGGAAAGTGTAACAGGAAACACTCGCGTTCCAATTAGCCTGAGCAACTGTCAATTTCGCTTCAGAAACGCGTTGGGTAAAATGATTGGGTAAAGGAAACCGTACCTGTCCATTCTCACCACCCCTTCATGATGTCAGAGCCAGACGAATCAGACCACATAACCGTGACAGTTTTGGAACAGTGTCTACTTGGTAAAATCATGTTCTGCTGACGGACCTGGAGCTAATATACATATAGTTTAAAATATAATTGTAGTTATCATTATGCAATACATAAAACTGCATGGAAATATTTCAAAAGACTTGGCCAAAATAGTAGGATTATCGTGTGTTAATCGCACAGGGGGCAAAGGAAAGTCAACAGCTGAATATTCTGCTTAAGAGATCTAGAATCACGGGTCCATTAAGAAGAAAAACGATGCCTGAATGTTTAAACTATTTTCAGTTTCATTGTGCACGCTAATTAAATTAAAAATAAAAAGGTGCATATATATATATATATATATAAAGAGGGGTAACTGATAAAGTAATCCATGTTACTTATTACACCTAAGCATTTAAAAAACTAATAATCATTTAACATTTCTGGAAATCTTAATTACCTTAGTCACACCATAATTATCTTTGACTGTCAAAAATTACATCACAGTTTAAATAAGCTGTTTCTGTAAATCATTTAATTATTAACCTTAAACCAAATCTTAGCAGAAATAATGACAAAGTAAGTCAGGTAATTTTCTATTTTAACTGGTTAAAGCCAGTCATCATCCTGTGTGAATTTAGAAACCCCACTTCCAGAGCAGCCGGGCCCAGACTGAGTGTAGGACAACCCCACCACAGCCTCCCCCCCTTCCATTGTCATGTTAATGCTCCACTGGCACTGTTTACGAGCACTGGTCGATGTGTGAAGAGCTTGCTGTTAATGTCTGAGCACCGTTGTCCCATACACAAAGATGGGCTTTAGCAACGACCCCAGAAAGCTTCCCAACAGAGATCCCCCTTTCAAAAAAAATGGGGGGGAAAAAGCCTCCTTCCTGCCTCCATAAGAACAGCGTCTCCATCTGAAAAGCTTCTTTTATGCCAAGGGAACGATGTCCAAGGCCGAGGAGGGAGAGCATGGATGGGGGAGGGGGTCTGTGGAGGCTTAGATCTGTATAGATGGCTGAGATAGAAGAGGTAGCCATAAGTTCAGCAGACGAGTGCTTGGCACTGGAGTGCTTGCCATGGAAGATGTGTTTCACTGTAAAGTGGTCCTCTCATTTCCTCCATAACTTTGAGGTTAAGATCAATTTTTAATCAAAGGCACTATAAGGAAACAGAGCTAGTAACACTTACCAAAGCAGCTCAGATTACTCTGGGTACACAATGTTCTTTCAAAGTTTGGACACTGCTACAGTTTCTCAAACACACATTAAGTTGATAAAGTTTAATCATCAGGTAAATCTGATTATTACAGATGTGAATTATTGAATTATTATTAGAGGGACTATTTATAGTTGGCTTTCACTACTTTCTAGACCAGGGGTATTAAACTAAAATTTGAGGAGGTCCAGTTGGAGAAAATCTTCTCAAGCAGAGGTCCGGGACATCATAATGTCTAACTTACGTTATGATTGTGATAGAGAAGCAACCTTTTTTTTTTTTTTTTTTTTAATTTATATCTGAACGTATGAACAATAGACTGTCAAATCAATGAAAATACAAGTTAAAACATTTCAACAAAATTTATTGTTAACACTGAAACACACAGTAGGCCTACATTAGAAATAGGGCTGTTTAAAATGAATTAGAGAAAATAAATAAAATGGCTAAATTGTGCATCTTAAAACAAAGTGCTTAATTTCAGAAAAAAAAAGTTTCCCTTTTTCTTTACATTTTACATCTCGACTAAACAGTCTCAATACATTTTCAACAGATAACATCAAAACATTTTAACAATTTTACAGTTTCTCTTTCTTTCCCCCTTATATTCCACGTCCCAACTTTCTGTTGTTCAGTGAGAGAACTGAGCTTTAGTTCGCTCTACTAGGATTTTAAATCTGGGCTGGAATGGTGTCAGGGCCATTCTCATACACATGTGTAGGTGCTCATTGGTGATCCTGGAACGATATTTAGTTTTTATTATGTTCATTGTGGAGAAAGCTGCCTCACAGCTGTATGTGGAGCCAAACATGGTCAAGATGTACAGGGCTACTTTCCTCAGATTTGGGAAAGCTGTCTCAGAGACCAATTGGGGCCAGAAAGTGGCAGGTTCAGTTCTTCCAAACTGCTCTTTCAGGGCCACATCTGCTTGGAGATCAATTAGTTGCATTTGAAGAGGCCCAGCATTTGCCCACTTGAAGTGCTGTGTGACTTCCTTTGAGAACCCTCTGACATCAGTGATGGCAAATGGGTTCTTTATGAACATGGTGAGCTGCTGTCCAAAGCTGAAGCTATCAAAACGTTTGCTGAAGTTTTCAATCAGCTTATCAACAAAGTCAACAAAAGAGGACACATCTCTCTGTCCCTGAGCCTGTTCCTTCACTGTTGGGAAGTGTGCATAGTCTCCTTGCAGGTCTTCTTTGAACACTTCAAGTTTCCTCTGAAAGCAGTGGACAGCTGTCATCAGTTCACAAATTGAATTGTCCTTGCCCTGCAGCTTCAAATTCAGTTCATTCAGGTGTGAAGTGATATCAACCAAAAAGGCCACAATATCCATGTTTTTCCCATCATTTAAAAAGAGAGAAAAGTTTGTTGCTTTTTGACTTTCCAGCTCTTCCAAGAAAGCTGCTACTTCACTTCTGATGGACCAAAATCGCTCCAATGCCCTGCCTTTGCTAAGCCATCTCACATTGTTGTGAAGCAGAAGATCATCAGCGTGTGCATCAACTTCTCTGAGAAATTCCCTGAGCATGTAATGCTGACAAGAAGAAGATGCCCTGAGAAAATTAATCATTTTCATCATTGTTTTCATCACCTCAGCATACTCGTCTGACAGGGTGGAGCATAACACTGACTGATGAATAATGCAATGATAAGAGATTAGCTCGGGATTGTCCTCTTTCATTCTTGCTACAGCTCCTTTCTCTCTCCCCATCATAGCAGGGGCTCCATCTGTGGTTATTGAAACCACTTGGTTTGGCTCTATTCCTCGCTTTGTTAACATTTCCTTAATGGCCAGGTAAATATCCTCTCCTCTTGTAGTGCTGTGAAGGGAAGTTACACCTAGCAGGTCTTCACAGAACTCTTTCTTATCATTGTTGAAGAACCTTACATAAACTAACAGCTGAGCATTGTCAGACACATCAGTGGACTCATCTACAGCCAAGCCTACACATGGTGTCTTATGAATAGCTTCTTCCAGCTGGGATAGCACATCCTGAGCTAATAATTCACTTCTCTTTGTGGCTGTTGATGCTGACATAGGTATTTGCTTTATTTTGTCATGAAGCTCTTCTTTTTGTTTACCCTCAAGTAATGTTTCTGCTACTGAACTCATGCACTCTTTGACAACACCTGCATCTGCAAAGGGCTTTTTGTGTTGACCTAAAATCCAAGCAACTCTGAGGGAACATTCATGAGCACGTTGTTGGGCGGTGAAAGAACTGGTTAAGATCCTTGTGGACTGATCATATTGGGCTCTGAGACTGCTAATTTTCTGGGACCTGAGTTCAGACTTGGGTGGGTATGATTGTTCAAAAGCTTTGTGCTTTGTCTCATAGTGGCGTTTGACATTGCCACTTTTAATCAGTGCCACGGTTTCTGAACATATGAGACACACTGGTTTGCTGCTTGCGGCCGGAAGAATGAACATATATGCGTCAGTCCATTCAGTCTTGAAAGTTCTATTTTCGGTGTCTACTTTTCTCTTTTTTGAAAGCGCCATAGTTGTTTTACCTCTTGTGACTCCCGCTCACATCTTGTCTCACTGTATCGTTAATCGTCTCGCTTGTCATTCACCTCTCACCATGTCTTTCCTCTGTCTGTGTCTGCACTCAGCGTTGCGATCGCCTTGAATGCGCAGATGTGATTGGCTAAGTAGTGTCACGTGGGTGGCGTAACTCGCACACAATTGGTTAGTATGTTCCCTGGTCTAATACAGCATGTTCCCTGGTCTAATACAATGTAAGGTTACTGCTTAAAATTGAATCGCCCTGTCAAAATTAAATATAATTTAATATTTTGTTAACTATAGGTCCGGGTCCATATAGGATGGCGACTGGGTCCGGACTCGGACCCCGGTCCGCCTGTTAGTGACCCCTGTTCTAGACTATATCCAATGGTCAGTATTGCAACATTTGACACCCTTTGACACTTAATGAAATCCTTTTGAATAATTTGATATAAAAAAAAATCTGCAGCATTTATAAAAATGTACAGAAATTTATTGATTGGAAATAACACAAAGTATGACCACCATCCAATTCTTTGTTCAATTAAAAAAAGAAAAAAGGTACACAAACAGTCTTAATTTGGACTTGACAGAACAACAGGAATGAAGCAATGAATTTAAAACAAATGCAGTCTGAAACCAAATAAATACATCAATGTCCACTACTGGTCATTGTAGGAATCAGTGTGTTAATGTTTTCTGAAGAGTAACAAGTCACAATTAAGACATTAAAAGTATACAGAGGCTGTGTAATGTTGGCATGGTGTTTAGCACGTGTCGGCTCACATCTCTCCACACTGTGCAATGACGATGGGGAGTTTAGGCTTGTTGTTGGGCCCTGTTGGGACATTCTGTAGGAAGAAAGTGACACACGTTTAGAACAAAAATGCCACTTTAAAGCTGTAATCTAAGCACTACATCCAACTACGGTGATTTATATGGACTTGTACGAGTTACAGGTTTAATTATTTGTTACATAAACATTACGTTATAAAAGATTAAACTGTAGGTGTTAGTATTAGGCTGGATACCTGCTTTAAAAAAAGGTCTTGAAGCCTTAAACATCACAGATGTAAAGTGATGAGTGTTTACAAAAGTCAACATTTTATTGGGTTGTGTTCATTTATTTCCCAAAGAAAGGCATTTCAAAATTAATTTTATGTAAGAATTTATTCATTTTACTATTATTATTTGAGCATTTTGGCTCTATTAGATAGCACAACAGAAAACAGACAGGAACGTGCAGAAAGAGAGCGGAAGAATTGTGAGAATTTCTTAAATTTAAATGGTAATACTACATTTTAGCTTAAATTTTTTTCATGGCTATTCTCCCCCTTTGAAGTTTTTTAGCTTAGTGTACAATGTCTCTGTCAATTTACTCCTACCAAAAGAACCACAAATACAAATCTGTCCGTTTAAACAAATATGGTAGATTTATAGGGAAGATAAGTTCTTACCTCAATTTTTCTCATGACCAGCAAGCCATCAACCAGTTTTCCTGTAATAATTACAAGTAAGACAATTCAACTCTGACACAGACAATACAGTAAAAAAAATGCAATACTGTTGATTTACTCACCAAACACAACATGTTTCCCATCTAGCCAGTCACATTTAGTGCAGGTAATGAAAAACTGACATCCATTTGTTCCTGGACCACTGTTTGCCTGTAATATGATACAATATTAAAACAGACACATTTTGGTTAGGGTGATTTACCTGAAGTGTATCCGTGGAGATTAAGCCATCCAGTAGGAGTTTAACCCAATCAACTGGTAACATTTTCAATCACTATACTGCAAGATAAAATGTAAGTAGATTTATCAAAACACGTACCATTGAAAGAAGACCGGCAGCAGAATGCTTTATTCTGAAGTTTTCATCTGCAAATGGACCTCTATAGATGCTGCAGATACCTGTTCCATCACCCTGCACAAAAGATTAATAGTACATACAGTAGTAAGTAGGGGCTCATAAAGAGAGCAATAGATTAGGAAATTTTAAATGTGTTGTAATATGCTGCATAACCACCAGAGGGGGAAACACCAATGTGGTATAAATCTGCTCAGTTCAAGTCAATAGTTACCATGGCAAGATTTAATCAACAAATTCTCAAATTCACAAAGCGTTTGTGCAAATCTTCCAGACACAGTCAAAAGACAACCATTAAACTATGGATATTTGTGTTGTCAATCCAGTCTTCCATGTACTTACATTTACAAAGTCTCCTCCCTGTATCATGAAGTCTTTGATCACCCTGCCAATGACCAATGGAAAAAGAAAATATCAATTCTGCTAAAGAAAACCTCACAAAAGTTAACAAATATATGAAAAGTATTACAGTCTAACTGTAATAGACAGCAGATTACAAATGTATGCTGTCAAAGGAGCTTGCAAAGAAAAGCGTCTGGACTTCTTTAAGTTGCTTGAAGACGTTTCACCTCTCATCCGAGAAGCTTCTTCAGTTCTAAGGTCAAATGGTGGAGAGTCCCAGATATAAACCTGAAACTGGGTGTGGGTCCCAATCAGCCAGAGTTTCGGGTGTGTTCATTGTGAAACCTGGCCCCACCTTATCATGCGAATTCCTGAGGTCAGATGGCCCAGGATGTGAGTGGGCGTTAAGGCGTCTGGGAAGGGATCTCAAAACTGGATTATAGATGGCAGACAGTTGGTATCGTAAACCCCCGCCTCTGTTCAAAGATGGTCGCTCACAGTGGACATAGATGGCTTCTTTCACTCCTCCATCTGTCCAAAATGTGAACATTGGCATCCTCGAAAGAGTGACCTTTATCCTTAAGATGCAGATGGACTGCTGAGTCTTGTCCTGTGGAGGTGGCTCTTCTATGTTGTGCCATGCGCTTGTGAAGTGGCTGTTTGGTCTCTCCAATGTAGAGGTCTGGGCATTCCTCGCTGCACTGTACAGCATACACCACATTGTTAAGTTTGTGTTTTGGCGTTTTGTCTTTCGGGTGAACCAGTTTTTGTCTGAGCGTGTTGCTGTTCTCTGCAAGCTCCTTTGACTACGATGACCTGGATGACTGAGAACCTTCACAGACACAAATGTATGCTCTTTTCCATTTTCGAAGAGGCAGTGTAGCATTGCAAAAGTTTTCTAAATGACACTATGAATCACATAACAGATGTGCTAGTCTTGTCATCATAGACCCTTCGTTAACACGGTACATTTCTTCTGTAACTATAGCGCAGAATATCATCTCAGCTTTGCTGCTGTAGTGTACACACTTCATAAGTCAAACACCAGAGTTTAATGTAAGCTACAGAAGTCAAGCTGCCATGTGAGTACCTGTGGAATGTGCAACCTTTGTAGCCAATAGGAACGCCATCTTTCCTAAAAAGACAGGAGTCAGTGAGAAAAGAAAATGAAGTAAGCAGTAAAATACTTTAATGTACAAACTGTGTCAACTGTCTCCTTGAAACGAAGTAGATTTGTCTATGTTTGTGATTCAGATTTTCACAGTAAATGGGCCAGCATGAAATATAGTACATCTGGAAAGTATTCACAGCACTTTCTCTTGTTCCACATTTTCTTATGATACAGCCCTATTTCAAATATTATTCTTGGAAATTCATTTAAAAAACAAAACAAAAGTATTCGCAGCCTTTGTCATAACACTCAAAACTGTTATGGCAAACCAGGAGACTAATCAGGTTTGAAGGAAAGACGAATGCAGCATTGTACAGAGTCATCCTTGATGATAACCTGTTTCAACAGAACAGCAACCCAAAGTACAAAGCTAACATATCTCAACCCCTCATTAGGCTAGCTATCTTAACTGTCCATAGACAGGAGTGATTTCCTAACTTTTCCTCACCGGCCGCTAGCTACCTTATGGTTGTCTATCCTGAACCCGAGACTTCATCACTGATCGAGCATCATACCACTTACTTTTCAGTAAGGCGGGGGGGTTTTTTGTACAGTTTAGCACACCAGCTAACTGTTTGCCTTTGTTGTAAACATCCCAGCAATCAAAGATATGCACTTTTTTCCCCCTCACACCAGAGGAAGCAGAGAAACTAGGGCTCTACTCTTCGTTTGTGGCAACAAATTTTCAATTACGGACACACACACCAGGTCTCAGACCACCAGATCACATTATGAAGGGAAGAAATTGCCCCAGGCCACCAGGGCGGCAAAGCAGTTACTCATGTAACATGGGGCTTCTTCCCTGGATTTTGAGGGCACAGAGAAGCATGGCTTACTTTCACTTCCTATGATAAGTCGGAGCCCACCTCCATCCACGGCTGGCTACGGGCTCCTCCAGGAGTTCCACATTTTCATTGTGAATGAAAGGGCCTACAAAGTGGCGGCTTTAGCGGTAAGAGCACTGAAAATTACCTCCATGTTAGCTGCTTACCAAGCAGAGGTCTATGTGAGGCCAATGCGACTAGGACTGACTAATGTGTGGGAAGAGATCACTGTGATCACAGACATTTATCTTTGCATACAACGCTGCACAATCCAAGCCACATTTCAGGACTGTTCTGGGTTCCATAAGGCATAGATGTGAGACGGGGAAGCAGGAGGATGAGGTCTCAATCTCCATCTTCCCAGAAAACTGAGCCGACACCACCTCCGACCCCATGAGGGATGTGAGATGGGCAAATGAACTGAATCATTTCTTCAACAGATTTGACTCAGCCATGAGGCAGTCTGCAACATCGGCTGAGGACTCACCCACCCCCACTGCTGCTGTTCCACCTCAGACACTTCACACCTCCTCTATTCACCCTGCTCACTCCCCCCCACCCCCAACAACAGCATCCAATACACACTCAACACAAGGCTCCAGCCTGTCTCTCTCAACCACCCAGGTTAGGAGGGAACTGAGGAGGATTAATGGCAAGAAGGCAGCGGGTCCAGATGGCATCAGCTCGAGGGTCGTCAGGTCCTGCGCGGACCAACTGTGTGGGGTGATGGAGCACCTCTTCAACCTGAGCCTGAGGTTGGGAAGAGTCCCACAGCTCTGGAAAACCTCCTGTGTTGTACCAGTGCCAAAGACTTCACGCCCCAAGGACCTCAACAGCTACAGGCCGGTGGCTCTGACATCCCACCTGATGAAGACCCTGGAGCGGTTGGTCCTGGCTCAGCTTCGGCGCCTAATAAGCTCATCACTGGACCCACTTCAGTTTGCCTACCAGCCTGGCATTGGAGCGGATGATGCCGTCATTCACCTCCTACATCGTTCCCTCGCTCACCTGGAGACCGCTGGAAGCACTGTGAGAATCATGTTCTTTGATTTCTCCAGTGCCTTCAACACCATTCTTCCCTCGGTTCTAAAGGACAAGCTGGTGAACTCTGGAGTGGACCATCACCTCACTACCTGGATCCTGGACTACCTCACTCTGTTGTGGCTTCTGCTATCTTTTATGGCGTGGTCTGCTGGGGCGGCAGCATCTCTGCTGGGGACAGGAAGAGACTGAACAGGGTGATCCGAAGGGCCAGCTCTGTTCTAGGATGCCCTCTGGACCCAGTGGAGGTGGTGAGTGACAGGAGAACGGCGGCTAAGCTGTCATCCCTGATGGACAACATCTCCCACCCCATGCAGCAGACTGTGACAGCACTGAGCAGCTCCTTCAGTGGGAGACTGCGGCACCCACGGTGTGGGACGGAGAGATTTCGCAGGTCTTTCCTCCCCACTGCTGTCAGACTCCATAATAAAGACTTTAACTGATCAAGCACACACATCCATACATATGCAATAATACTAAGTGCAATAATCCTTTCTGTCATCGTTGTATTTTTACTCAGTTGTATATAGTATTTGTATTTGTATTCTATTTTTATCTTATTGTATATTTATTTTATTTTATTCTACTGTATATAGTATTTTATTTTATTCTATTCTGTACAGTTGTGTACTGTATTTATTCTTATTGTATTCTAATTTTTGCCTCATAACTTTTGCACTGTCCACTTCCTGCTGTGACAAAACAAATTTCCCACATGTGGGACTAATAAAGGTTATCTTATCTTATCTTATCTTATCTTATGACAGACCTTTGCTCAGGCAGTCACCCAGCCTCCCACTCAGTTCAAGATCCCAAAACAAGGGCTGGTAAGCCACAACTCAGACAGCAGTTCCACCGGGACAACCCGTATAGCAGGTAAGTCAGCAGCTCAGGAAAAAGAAGGGTGTGGCCTGACATTCCCCTGCCATTTTATCAAAGAGTACTCCAAGTTACTGCCTGTCTTCTGGCCTCGTGCACTCAGTTTGCTCTAGGGCAGACCAGGGTGTAACTGAAGCCCAATCTGGCCTATGTGGAATCTGGAATCTCCGTTTTCCATAATGGGACATCAAAACAAATGCTAGGAATGAGAACTTTAGGCTACTTGTGTAACCCCAGTTCTCAAAGTAAAATGAGTAAGATGTCTCAATAGACAAGCCCTTCTTGCTAAGGAAAGGCAAGAAGAGGTGCTTATCCTGAATAACAGCTACGTAAGCATAAGTTACTAAAGGATAGGTGGTTCTGCCCAACGTGGGTTTTACAATTAGGGCTGGGCGATATGGCCTAAAATCCATATCACGTATAATTTGAAGCACGTGCGGTAACTATATATATCGCGATATATTATTTTCTTCTGTATAACGTATTTTCAATAAGGCACACTTAAAATCCTTTAATTTTCTCAAAAATCAAGAGTGTGCCTTATGTATGAATTCTGGTTGTGCTTACTGACCTCGAACCGATTTGGGCGTGCAGAAATCTGTTAAAAAATGTTTTAGTACAACTTTGGTAAGCCGCACTGCTTAATGGATTGTCAGAGCATTACGGCTGCCGTAGTGAGGAGCTTCGCGTAGTAATCTGGGTCCAAAACGCCATGGGTTCAGGTCCCAAAGTCAAACGAACACTGAGAGTTAAAAACGGTCTAAATCCTTTCATCTTTAATAAAATCATCAGTGTTGCTGCTTTACCAGGTGTAACAATTAAGTTTAACATCCAGGCATCCATGAAAACAGAATTTATTAAATTTAACGGAGTTAGAAGTTAACAGGAAGTTAGCTCGCTAGTTTCCACCTAAACATTTCATACCATGTTCTGACAGAAATTTCTGAAACTAATTAAAACGTACAGCTCTGCTACCACTTCCAACATAAATGAAGACAGAAAACTAATCAGCAGTGGCGTTTTGCAGGGTTACTGAAGTTGAACTACCTGGTATATGTTGTGCTATGTGATTGCTAGCGACACAGCTATGTTAGCATAACATTAGCACAGTGAAGCTGGAGGATGAACGCCAAACGTTTTTTCCACTCGATAAAAGTTAACGTGAGGGATTCTGGTGGTTAGGGACAAATGCAATCGCATAGCAGGATTCTATAAACTTCAGTCAGGAGAACAACTGAGATTTTTCATCCACAATACAAGGTTAGTTATTAATATACTGCAACAACATGGGAATAGAGCAGCTGCGAGAGAATTCAACATTAAGGAATCAATGTTACGGAAGTGGAGGAAGCGCAGTTTTTGGCTTTCCCCATATTTCAGAAGTGCTTCATCTCTTTGCTATGACTGTCGCCCAGCATAATTTGCAGACGATAATGGTTGTAGCCGCTGCGATGCTTTCGACCAAAACAGGCGCAGCTGGATGACATCATCAACATGCGCTATTGCGGTAGAGCGTATAGTCAAAATCTCTATCGTTGGCCAAATTTATATCGTTTCTATCGTATATCGTTTATATCGCCCACCCCTAGTTACAATCACCAGCCAATCAAGATTAGTGGAATGAGATAAATGCTCATCTCAGGGAGGCACATCCCATTGTGAGACATCTCACCCATGCTATTCTGGGAACTGGGGTTATGCAAGTAACCCAAAGTTTTCTGCAGCAGGAAACACTGCATCAAAGCACAGGACACACCTCAGTTCTGATAATGTTGATATGCGCTTTTTTCTTCCTTCAGTCACCAGATACTTACTCCTTCTCTAGTACACTTACCACGCAGGCACACATTTCAGCCCGAAAATACAGTGGAATTTGTAAAATGCAAACCAATGAGCACCCCAAAGAGTTAATTCTGTTCATCTTGATGTAGCAATGTCAGTGGGAGAAGCGTTTCTCAATTTGCATATTAATGATCAAGAAACTGACCTCATAGCCCATTGTTCATTCAGTGGGCTAGTTTCAGTCATTGTGCAAAGGTACTGTTTATATGGTTGGGGAAACCTGCAGTCAGCTTAGACTGAAGAAGTCACTTGAATGAGTGACGAAACATTTCTCCCACTGAAAAAGTTACGTCTAGATGAACAGAATCAGCTTTTTGGGATTTACTTAAACGGATGATTGAGCATGCATCAAGGCAAACGAATGAGCGGTTCAGTTCGCAAAACCTTTGCTTTTCTCTTAAGAATATTATGCTCATTATTAAGACAATAGTATTTCTTATGTGATTACTCGATAATTGATGGAGTACTTGATCACTAAAATAATCAATAACTGCGGCTGCTAACAAGTGCTTTCAAGAAGAGCATGTAAATGTTATGTCAATAACTGTACAGATTGGTGATGTGGTATTTGCAAATATGCATCCACCACACATTGCCTTACCTGAACTCTCCAGTACAGAACTGCCTGTAAGAGATTATGAAACTGTTAAAGTTTGATTTCTGTTAACACATACTGTATATCAAACAACAACAAAGAAGATTATATCATATAAGGCTGTGAGCAGTCTGTGATTGTGTGACTTGTTCTCTACCGGAAGTTCTCAGCTGTCTTTGGAACCACATCAGCAAAGAGCTCAAACTTCATCCGTCCAACATCCTGTCAAACAGTAAAGCAAAGTTAACAATAATTGATCAACAGAATTATCAAAGTTCTCGCAAACTTTTTTTTAAAAACAAAAACAAGATAATAAGTTTGATGGGGTGGTCCCAATTGTCATGAATACACAACAAAATGTCAGTGCTTGGGAGGAAAAGAAGAGCAGACACATGGACAAATTTCAACTTTTATACTGAATATTTTAGTCAACTGAATCAAGTTTATAATTAGTCTACTAAAATCTTATGACATTTAGGCAACAAAAGCCAGACAAAAACAAAGAATTTAGATGTTTAATTTAATGACTTAAACTAAATAATGTTTTAGTCAAAAGAATATACAAAACTACATCTAAATTTCATGTCAAAATCAACACTGCAGTAAAGAAAACTACTGGTTAACCAACCAAAGGGTAACCACACAAAAGAATATACCTCGCGGAGATTTGGCACCAGAACACAGAAACAGGTTATTCTTGTCTAAATGATAATGTTACACTCACTAACACCCTTTCAGAGGGAGCTGAAGTTACACTTTCTACTTTCTACTTCTGGTTTTTAATTTGTGTCGACTTCGCTGAACACTTTACATATTCGGCGAAGTTGAACATAACTACTGTTGTTTAAACAACACAAGCTCTGCTGTGTCTCAGTTTTGATGTCATGCAGGTGTGACAACAGAAATAATGAGATGCTACAATCTTGATGCAAAACGTCACTGGACTATAAATTATCTTAGCCTTGTATTTACATATATACATGTAAATGAGTGTGGCCATCTCTCCGCCCAGTTCTCTGATACTGTTGAATTCATGTAAGTGGCCCACTGTTACAACAATGTGTGCAAGTCTGTGTGAGAGAACAGTCTAACATTTGGAGTACAAGGAGCGGTTTGTCCTCATGACATCACTGCACAACTCGTCCTCCACTCCATGTGGACAAACCACAGTGGCCTCTAGATGTCCTGTGCTTGCCAGATAAAAGAGATAAAACAGTATGCTTAAGGTTTCCAGACAAAGAAATGAAATCAGAAATTGTGTTGATAAAGAACAAACAAGCACAGCACATTTTATCTGGTAAGGGTTTTCCCTTGTTGGAGTCTGGTTTCCCCTGACGTTTTGTACCCAACAATAGGTAAGACAGCTTTTAACTTTCTTTCTTAACAGTGGACTACTTTTGTTGTCATCCTATTACTAGGGTATCAACTTTCCAAGATTATTTCCATTTCAAGGGATTTATGCTACTTGGAAAAACCAGGTCTCAAGTGCACCGACTTAGACATAAGGCCAAGGCTTTAACTAACAAACAATGTTGAAATTTTCCAATCCACAGCGAGCAAATTCACCACACCTATATTAACTGATCAGGAGGAGTAAAAGAAAATAATAACAATACCAAAACTGAGAATAAAACCACACAGCAAACTAATCAAGCCAAACCCGAGGCTACAGTGTTGACATAGTCCACATATCAACTTTGCAACAGGAATAATCACCAGTCTATTGTGGTCAAAGACAGACGAGTTGACATTTCTGTGAACCGGCCATTCACTGGATCTTGAGTCCCAAGAAACGAGTGTAACTTGATATACATGAGGTGTAGGCAAACAAAATAATTTAAAGGGAGTAGTTTCAAACACACATTGTGAGCATTCACTGGTTGCCGTGGCTGCAGGACATGCAAATTGATGCACCAGGAAGTCGTCACTTCCATGATACATGTGGGAGGGAAAACAAGCCGAGTTCTTGGAAAAAAGAAATAGAAGGTGTGCCTCATCAGGTGTGTGCATCAACAATGGGGAAACAGGATCATGAAGAGTTGCCTACCTGCTCATAACAGTCAGGTCAGAAGCAGGACTTACATTACTAAACAAGAGTTATCCACCTCTGCTGAAGCTTACGGGACTAATACAACACAGCATAAAAAGGTAAATTCAGAGCCATTTATTATTTCGTTCTCATGACAAACACAGGATTCTTCAATGGCAGAACATGATTTAAATCTAAAGGAACATAAAGTTTATGTGTGTGCTGTATTGTGCAGAAGTGATTCTGCAGTGGCAAACTGATTGGTCAGTTTGAATACAACACTTTAGCATGTCTTAAAATTACAATAAAAGGAGTTTACCATACCAAAATAACAACTGATGCTTATTTTCATTAGCGATTTCCCACTTTCTTAGGTATGTAGGTACATACAAGATAAGCAGACTGGTCATGTTAATCAATGAGGCCCTTACAATTTTTTCTGGGATGCACATCAAGTACTGTGAGAGAAACTGAGAATTTTTGCATTTGTTCATTTTTAACACTGCTTGGTATCTCGTTTCCTCTTTTAATCTAATATTTTAATATTAATAATTTACCAGTGCATCAAACGGATACACCCCAATTTATTTTCAGGGTGTATGGTTTGTAATCATCTCAGTCTTAGCGACCTGTAAGCAGGGTAACACAGCTTTTAAGCTACGACTACACCAAATTTGATAATGATACATATCTATAGTACTACATGAATGCATTTTGCCAGTCCACTGTGACCCCTTAACTGTTCAGACTTTACAAGTGCGGTGCATACTGTAATTATCAGGAGAACGTTTTCTAAAATGAAATTGAATGTAAACAAGAAAAGACATTTTATAACTTGCAGGAGAAAATTATCTTTATAGTTTAATGAACTTGAGATTCATACAATGTATATGTATTCCCTTTGGTGGAGTCTTAAAGCAGACCTCTAAAATACCCTCTTCATATAATGATCAAAGTTTAGAAATACAACGATAATCTGAATAGGGGCAGGAGCAAAGGTATTCAATAAAATAGATCTGCAACAATTTACTCAGTAACTCAATTATAAAATATCCTGAAGGCAATATTTTTTAATATGTTTTACAATTAATTATTAACATCTACACCAGGAGATCATCTGTAGCAGGAAAGATTGCAGCTACTGATTATTCTATCTATTATTCCTTCAATTAACCCTTTCATGCATAGTGGTCACTACAGTGGACAGCTACTCAAAGGCTGTTTTATTGTGTTTGTGTCAGTGTTGATGGTATACTTGCACATAAACTACTACATTGGATACTGATATGTCACTCCATACCTTGCCACCCACTGGTTGTTTAATATTACTATAGATGCATGGCATGTTTCATTGTAATTATCGTTATTTAACCCTGTCATGCATGAATCAGGATTTTTTTCTCAAGTATTTTTATTCATCTTTTCAAACTTGGTGTGTGTCTGTGTTTTTGTGCATGTGTGCACATTAACCTATGTTTCAGCGATCTAATGAATATGCATGACTGCAATGAAGATAAACAAGTTTATCGACATTCTCAGAACTGAGGCGTGCCCTGTGCTTCAATGCAACTCTTCCTCCTGTACAAAACTGAAGTTTTGATGCTATAGATGTTAATAATTAACAATAATATTTCAGTGTCCAACCTAGCAGCACTGGGTCAGTGGCTCAGTGTGTTACATATTTATATTAATATAATCCAGAAAAATAATCCTACTAAAACCATGAAATAAATATGATCCAACTCCACACCCTTTAGACTCACACTGGTTGTTGCAGGTATTGCTGCCATATAATGTAGAACAGCGGCCAAAAGCCTTCAGCGAGCTTCCTGGTTTAAAGATTATATCAAACTAACTTTACAGTTCATCTCCGTATTTTATGTTCTGTAGCTCTACTGTAGATTTTAACTGAAGAAAGCAGCAGACGGGAGTGGCGAAGTTCGCTTTTATTCATGTTGAAACTTGTTTATCGAGTGGTTTCAGAAAAGAGTCCCACCAGCTTTTTCCTAGTAAAGGTGTAATGGTGATTACAGGAACAAGCGCTGCTGTTTTGCAAGGCAGAACAATGTTTTCTTTCATTCCACGTGAGCTCACCGTCTCGCTAACGACCGCAACTCTTTGCGTTAAACTATGACAGCATTGTCATCATTTCTGCTGTTGTGCTATCTAGGGGCAACATGGGCTTAAGACAGTATGCTTGCTGGTTAGTAAAAGGCAGACATCACAGCTCCCCCTACCAAATACCAAGTGTGTGGTTTAGGTTGTGATAAATAAGTAAAAATACAATGGCATGAAAAAAAAAAGTTTTTCCTTTTTTTGTTAACTACCATGTTATTTTATTTTTATATTTATCTTTTATTATATTTTCTCCCCGTTTCTGTTAAATCAAATCAAAGTAGTGTTTTTTTCTCTTGTGAATATTTACTATTGTTCATTAATAAAGGCATAAGTACTTCTTATCAGATGACTTGATTAATTGATAGAATACTCAATAACTACAACAATCAATAGCTGTAGCCCTAGAACAAAAGCCCTAGAAGAGTCAGAAAATAGGTGGTTTCTCACCTTGCACTCACAGCTAAAAGCTCTTTTGTGGGTTTTTTCTCCCGTATAAGCTTTCATCATGTCTATACAATTTCTGCTGTCTTTCACAGAATTTCCTGGAACATCTGAACACTGCAGTCCAAGTCAAATGCTGCCAGAGTTGCCATCTTTGTTTGACACAAGCCACACTTTCAGAATGATGGCCATTATACATGAATGGGAGGGCATGTCTGCCAGTCACACAGACAACACTGGAAAGTATGTTTCACTTTTAATTTCCAAAGCAGGCCTGGAAACAGTGATCTTTTATTTATGGTGTCAAAAACGGTACACCATCTTTATGAGTGCGTGCAGCCTGTCCATCATACTGGCTGACTGGCTGATGACCATTTTAATGGCAGCTGTGTGGTTACTGGGTCCTGTCCACTCATTTACACCCTGCCTCATTTTGACTAATGCCTCAGCAACATATGCAGCATTACCACTGCCCATGATATGCCTGAGTTTAATGGACTACCTTTTAAGAGACAAAGCTCTTAGCAACGGCAGAGCCTTCTTAAAAACCCTCGGAAATATACTCCTGACACTTCTCGTGTGGCTGCTAGCTTTTATGTGCTCTTTTAGCCATGCTGATGCTAAACTGATGGATATGAGTTGCGGCAAAAGGTTGAAGAAAGCTCTGGTGTGTGAAGTGCAGGAGTCAAAACTGGTGATCAACTTCATTGCTGGGATTTTCACTGCAATCCTTTTAGCACTGCTACCATTTTGCTCACATATTCCCCAGTGGGTAAGAGATGCTGACAAGTTCTGTGAAGCAGTGGAAGAACAAGAGAAGGTGGGGAACAACTTGCTACTCACTTCAACCCTCTGCCCAGAGACAAAAGGTGATGAAAAGAGTTACCTGACACATACAATCCACCATCGACCGCCTCTCTGGATCAGTCTAATACTGGGCTTTGCCACATTCTGGATGCCTTTTCTTGCTGTGTCTCTGGCCTGTTTGGTTTTTGGCCTTGGAGTACCTGCATACATCTCTGTTAACCTGTTGTGGCTGGAATGCACCAACAGTTTACTGCTGGGTGTGCTATTCTGGGTAAAGAGCAAGACTCTAGGGCCACACACCAATTTACCAGAAAATCTGTGCTCATGGCACATTTACTGGCATATAAGCACAGAAATGCAACCCGAGCTGATGGTTCCTGAGCTCAACCCATCAAAAGAGAAGAGAAATACTTACAATGTGTAAGAAAAAACCTGAAAGTAACAGACATCATAAGCCTAGATGGAAAGTCAAACTCATTGTACAACGTGGGCCACATACAGCAGACTTTGATGCTAAGTGCATCGAATCCCTATGCATGGGACAAGTTTTTCTATATGATAAAGAAATATTGCTGTAGTAAATAAAAGAAATCTGTCAACACAGCTGGACTTAAAGTGTAAGAAATGTATAACATTACAGAAAGGTTTTGGCAGCTCATTGGTCAGACTGTCCTGTAATTATAAACAGAGTTTATGTTAATTCAAAGAAAATGTCATTTTTACCCCCGTCTAGGTTTTTGATAATGTTTGTATATGTAAGCATCATTCTGTCTTTAAACACACTGACTGAAAAAGCTTTGAATAGCAAACTTTGTAGGGGTCTAGAATGAGGTCCTATTAACAATCTATTCAAATCTGACTTATATCCATCAAGCTATTCAAGGTCAGCTTAATGTTTTATTGGTCAAAAATTGCCAAACAGACTTATAACTTAGAAACTATGACTGTTAAAGTTGTAATGTGTATTGCAAACATATACAAACAACAAAAAAGGTTAAAACTAACTCACATTTGACCTCTGACATCATCTTTAAGGTAAATAGATTCATCTGAAGGTCAAAGTGCTAAAGGCCGTTTTAAAATATCTTACAGCCACTGTTTGCACTGCCAGCATAAGCGATATAGGTTACCAGAAGTTTATATTATATTTACTATACTATGTTTTAAAGCAAGTACTTTAAGAATTAAAAAAAAAAAAGAAGAAAAAAATAAATAATATATTACACAAAATACAATACTATTCTAATAAAAGTAAATACTGCTCAGAGTGTGAGCTGCCTTGGTGACGGTTTCCACGCTGAGTGCTTCTTGGTTTATTGGGGCTTTTTTTGGTTTTTGTATTTGGATTTTTTTTTGTTTCTTTTTTATTTTATGTAACCGTAGCCCCTTCGTAATAGTTGTTGTAATTGTAAATTTTTTTTTCTTCTTTATCTATTAGTAAATTGGTGTAGTATGAATGGCAATTCACCCCTGGTCTACACTACAAGAAACGTGATGTGATGAGCCACTAAGAAAGTTTCACCTGTGTCAATGCTGCAGGAAATGTCTACTCTACTCTAAGTTACACACCTGATGCTATGACTGAATGATTGATTCTAATTTATTCCTTCTTCTGTTAGAATCAGGTAACATCATAAAATTTTATTTTACAATACCTTCTTTTTCCCTCTTACCACTCCTGCTGCTTGACTGTTTTGTACAAATCAAAAAGGTACAAAGTTTCTTCTGGATGTTCATGAACATCATTAAATATGATCAGCAGCTACAATGGATGTAATCTTTTTTCTATCATATGTTATTTCCAAGTTGGAGAATAAACTTAAACTTGACTTAAAACTAAGCTTTTAATCCGACACTGACGCCATCTGCTGACGAAGCTGAGATAACACAACTGAACGCACTGCAACACCAACACTGACCTCACAGTGGCATTTTGTAATTGGCTGTAACTAAAATGCATCTTTTCTTTACTTAACCATATCATAATAATAAGGCTGTTTATTATAAGTAAAGGGGTCTTATGAAGACTTTTTTCTTTTGTTGTAATTATTTTAGATGACAGATGTGTCCTAAAAACTACAATATGCTGGTACACGTAGTTCAAACTTCATACCACCACCATTCTATGTAAAAACAGTCGCTACTAGCACTACTGACATTCTCCTTTCTTAGGCTAACATATTTTTCTCTCAAAGTCTTAAGCAAACCTAAATATGGAACAATCTTCAACTAGAAAATTCAGGAAAATGAATTAAAAAAAGAGGACTTAACTAACATGTTAACATAATATGGTACTTAGAGTCTGTATATTATTTTAATGCTTTCAAAGGCAAGTTATGATAATAGCGGTTCATTTTTAATGTTAAAGGGAACTTCTGTCACTTTCATTAAAAAAAGAAAAAAAAATATGACTAATCAATGCGAGAGTCTGAGACAATGAACCATCATTAATCAAAATGAAAAATTAAAGATAAACATAGAAAATAATTCTTGGTCTCTCTGTTTTAAATAGCTTTTGTCTTTTTATCTTTTCTCTAATTTCTTTTTACATTGTTCCTGCTTCATTATGCAACTGGGGGCGGTGTCTTTAAAGGAGCTCATGGGATCAAATTTCCACCTATTAGTTATTAAGGGGCAGGCTCATAAAGCACCACAGAAAAAAGCTAAAAATAATATTGACTTTCAGGACTATTTACTTCTTTTTAAAACTCTAAAAATATATTAAATAAATCTGTCTAAAAATACATTAATACATAATGTAAGCTTGAATGGCAATGCCAATAACACTTGATGCAGAAAGAAGTAAAATACATATTTATAAATACTTGTATTTCAATACACACACTCGCATACATATATAAACTTTGCACAAACAATATTTGTGATTGGTCAATTACTTCTTTGTTGTAATGATTTTTTTGGCACTAAATCTTAAACTGTCAGAAATCCTGTTTATTTGCCCTTAAATGGTGCCACATCTATAAGGAAAATGCTTTTGTGGGTTGAGCAGCAGGTAGAGTATGTCTTCTTTTTCAATGCCAAACAGCTTATTCTGCTATTGATTCTAGTTTTGATTCTCAGGTAAAGGAGGTCCTGGCACTCAGGTGCCATGGGCAAATGATTAGAAGCACCCATAAGCAAGAACAGTGATCAGATGTTGTCTTTTCCAAGCATGCTGTGCTTGACTGCTCTAGATATGGCAACTTCAAGATGGCGTTCTGCAAAACAAGCAATACTTAGTGTGAGCAATACCGAGTGAGCCCTAGCCCCCTACCATCTCCAAGTTGAAGGCCAAGATCCGTATAATGGGGGATGACAGAGACGGTGGCGAAGTGTGCGTCTGAGGGCAACAAGACCACACGAAGACCGTTTCCTTACCTGTCACCATAACAGTATGTGACCACCATGAGGTGGAGGTGCCAGGTTGGTGTGGCTGTATGGGTCTTCCACATGCTACTGAGGCTGCTGTTTGTTCAATGAATAAATTGTTAAATTGCCAGGATGTATTGATTCTTCAGATTTTAATCATCCAATCTGATAAATGACACTAAATAAAAGTGAAACGCAAATAAGATATTTGGCATTGGAAAAGATTTTAATGGGCACAACCCACATACAAAATTCTCCTTCTCAAATCACAAATGTGGTACCATTTAAGTGAAAATAAATAGGCCAAGAAGCATTGTTACAGGATAATCCCCAAGTTTACATACACACCAAGTCTATACATGTGTGCGTGTGACAGACACATCTAAAGTTTTCAAAAAGTCATTTTTCCAAATGCAGCTTTTTCCACGGTGTCAATAGAGGAATAACAGTCACATAACAAATTTATCGTACCATACTGATATGCATTTAGTTGCGAGGGTTATTCTTTTGAACAACATCGGGATATCTTCGATTTGAAGTCAACGTGCTTTCTCTGTCCGCGTCAACATTAGTTCAACAAACTCACCCGTATATAATGAAAAGGATTATAAATGTTTTGCCTCCCTTATTGTATATAATGTACATCAGGTGTGTATGTTTTACAACAAGGTCGTTTAACAGGGTTTAACCAGACTATGAACTTTATTGTTGCCACTGATGTGACGCGGTAACGTTGCCCGGTTAGCTTCAAAGTGTCTTTATGATGCTACTCACCTGCCCTCCAATGGTAATGTCGAAGAACACAACCGGGTTGTTGGGGTTTGAGGCTTGAATCGACATTGTCGTGATTTACCCGCTTTCTGAGACAACAAAATGCAACGTTTGGCTATTTACACAGCAATCATTTGAACCACGATCTGCGCTGTCGGAACTACGGCGTCTCGCGAGAGACGTGCTACAGATCCCTTCTGCGGACAAAAGACTTTCGTCACCAAAAGCGCGATTGTACGGAAATAAATGATAATGGCGACATGCCTACTGATAGCAGCGTAACAAATGAACAGTTTATTTTAAAAAAATAAATAAAAAAAGGCTGAATTTGTCTTTACTTCTACCTAAAAAACTGTCAACGAAATTACTGCATTTAGTAGTCCTTTCCATATCAAATTCATTAAGTGAGTATCAACTGGTAAGGTAAAGGTCTGGAACTTAGTTTTTCTTTTATTAAAATCTATACCATCTATAATCTCAAATCTATGCTTATAAATACAGCAGCAAAAAATCTTTCACACGTGAAATTTCCAATTTAGACTAATTATACAATACAAAATGAAAATGTTGGGGGTGTAAATCACTTGAATTCCAGAGTGTCAGTCCTGCTCTGGTATCTGACATTTGTGAAGAACATCACATAAAGCTGTCATGGGCCGCATCCATAAAGGAGGAAAAAAAAAAAAAAAGAAAAAAAAAAAATCACTGTTCACAAAAGTCCAGGAAAACTGATAATCTGACCTTCACCAAAAAAACAAAGCCTTGTCTGATGGGTGCAGTAGGTTTCATGTGGCTCTAGCAAGGGCTAAGAGGAACTGTGTCGGCCAGGATGTATAGAGATGTAGCTGCATGACTGTAGTTCAGACAATATTTTAAGACAGCATTATAAATGAAACCTTATATACTTAAGCGAGGCTCCCAGTCTGAAGAAGCTTTGGAAGTGGGGAAGTTTCCAAAACGAAAATGATCCCAGACAGACCGACAATTACCAAAGTTGTTTTAAAGAAGAAAAAGGAGAAAGTTATGACAAAGTATGTCCCTGATCTGAATCCAGTAAAATACATTTGAAGAAATTTGAACTGTAAGGCAGAGGAACAAAAGTCATACAGAAAAGATTAGCTTAACTAATTTTGACACCTTTGTGGGAAAATGTTTCTGTTAAAGGTTTTATTTTCACAATAAAACATTTTTACAAATTAACAAATTGCAAAGACTGCGCCACAAAACAAATGACCAAATGCAAATTGACTGCAAAGATTTCTCAAAGTTGTTCTAACTCAAGGTGAGAAAAAAAAAATAGCAATACAGGTTGTCACAAACTCTGCTGTGCAAGCAGGCAGATAAGTACTAGCAATAGCAAAAAGCTCTAAAGAAATTGTTTTATGTAAAGTAATAAGGTTTCTTCACATTCACACCATATTCTGCGAGGGCAGGAGTCAGGTCCTCCATAGTCAATGTGTACTTCTTATCCTATACACGGGAGGAGGAAGAAAATTATCAGGAACAAAAATAACTGAAAGCAGATGAAACCTTCCTCTTCTAGCAACACTCACACAGCGCTCTCTAAATATTGTACATCATATTTAAAGTGCCTGTTAAAATTAGACAAGCTTACCTTTGTCTTACTTCTTGAGCTTCCTGAGGCAGTGCCTTTCATTTTGCAGTACTGCAGCGCATCATTGGCAATGTCTGAGATAAATTTCTGAGATGCGAGGGAGATCAGACGAATTCTATGCATGGAAAAAAGAAAATAATTAATGACTTCTTCCCTTAATGGTTTACAGCCTATCTGTATCCTTACTTTGAAAAACACCACACACATAAACCTCAGATTTTCTCTGATCTTGTTCGGAGTGATCACAAAGCTGACATTAAAGAGTCTTACAAGGTTAGAGATGTTGCATTTTGGTTAAAAGGTTAAAGCCAGTTTGTTTTAAGCAAATCTAATCAGCCAACACTCCCTTTAATATCAGAAAGCACAGTGCTACCTGACTAATACAGTATTAAGATAAGAAATGCTGTATACCATTGGGAAATTCTTTAAATTAAGCAGGAGCATAGAAATATTTGACAATACAGTCATCTATTTGTGACTTCAACATGTTCCCAATGCCAGATTACATTAATTTCCGACTCATTCAGTGCCTTGAACTCGGGTTTTTAATGGTGAACTCATATTATATAAAGGCTTTTAAGTCATAGGTTTGTTAAGTAAATTGGTGGCTATCAATCAAACCTCTGAATGTACCAACTGAGCAGCCTTATGATTTGTGCTGTTTGTTTTGTTAGTCACACTCATATCAGGATTATGTACTCCTCCATGCGTGCACACTGACAGACACAAAGCTGTTCCTAGTATACAATTTCCCAGTCTATTTAAAGGACACATGTATAGGTGGAGCCTTTTTGCTGTATTTAATGTCTAAACTGACAAGTCCATGACATTAGACCAGAATTGAGTGTACTCACATCCTTGGATCAGAAGCCTCAAAGCCAGCCCGGTTGAGGTAGTAGCCTGTGACTGCATCAGGAATCTGATGGGGGGGGGGGTTAATAACTACTTATGTATATGCCAATCAAGCACTGATTAAGAAACATTACTGTCAAAAACATGTGAAGATATGATGTAGCAGGGTTAACTGACTTACCGTGGGAGTGTACTCTTCCAGCTGCATGAGGAAATCAGCCAGTGGCGTGGTGGAAACAGCAGGCTTCACATCTCCATTGGTGATGCCACCAGGAACATACACTCCATTGGAAACAGATGTGTCTGCAGACGGTGTCACCACAGCCGATGAGGACGAAGCTATAAAAAAGAGACATCAAGAAGGGTCTATTAAATGCTTGGAAAAAGGGTGGCTTTACCCCTCTGGAAAATTAGGCAAAAGGAGGCCAACTGAACTTCTTTAAGTTTGTGAAGACGTTTCACGTCTTATCCAAAAGCTTCTTCAGTTCAAATAACGAAGGTGGAGAGTCCCAGATATTTAAACCCTAGTGCAGAATGTCACCTTTGGAGATAATCGTTGACCTACTATTAATCGTGTGTGACATGACATGAGCCAAGGAGTTAAAAAAGGGAATGAGTCATTAAACCAGAGGTTTCAAGTGAAATTAAAGTGAGACCTTGCCCCTCCCTATCATGACCTATTGAGGTTACCTGAGGCAAGGGTTGAAGTGTCTGGAAAGGGATCTCAAGATAGCATTGAAGGTGGCAGCTTGTGTTCAGTGATGTTTGTTGACACAGGGCAAAGATGGCCTATTTTACTCCTCTTTCAAACCATCTGTTTTGTCAGTCCAAAATGTGAACATTTGTATCATCAAAAGAGTGTAGCTGTGCATCTGCACCTAAAGGATAAGTTGCACCTTTTGCCGCTTGGTTATTTGGCCAGTGGTGTTGAGGATTTAGGTAAACTTGATTAAATTATAAACACACATGAATAGGGTCAGATTTTGATATCCACCACAAAAAACTATCTGGACACAGTTTCATCTTTTAGCATGACAATGACGCCAAACATATTGCTAATGCATTAAAAAATACCTGGAAAGAAAAATATACAATTAAGCACTATCACTCATGGATCGGGATCCCAAAGAACAAACTTCAACTTTACTGAAGAATAGTTGGACCACCTTGACAGACAACATAGCAAAAGGCAGCCAACATCCAAAGAAGCTTTAGATGTCCTTCAAGAAGCCTGGAAAACTATTGCTAAAGACTACTTGGAGAAGTAGTTTCCCATTTTTACATAAAAATTAAATCTATCTTAAGGATGGGGCCAAAGGGTCTTTCACCATCTCACAATGCTGTGACTGCACCAATTCCCCAACTCTCACTGAACGGTACCCATGGCCATTAATTAATGATCATGACAATTTCTATATTAGTAATCAGGAAACTGACCTAACAGTTAGTCAGTTGTGTTAGTTTCAGTCTTTATGCAAATGTAATGTTCACAAGGTTGGGGACCCCACAGTCAGCTGAAACTGAAGACGTCACTTGAATGAGTGATAAAACATATCTCAACAGTCAGATAAATAGAATCAGAACTTTCTGTGACGACTTAAAGAACCTACAAGAAAGCTTGCCTGAGAGAATTCAAGCTCTTTTAAATAATAAAGGTGATCATATCAAATATTCACTTTATTTTCAAGCTTGTGAGAATTGCACAAACTGTTTTTACCTTATATACTAACATTTTTGCAATACACTGTACCCATTTCCAATCTTCCCTGGCAAAATATAAGGAAATCATGGATGGCTTGAGACTTTTGCAAATTACTGTACTAACAATCTAAAAATTGCTACAGTGGTTAAGTTAGTGATACGGACTTAACCTGAAACATGGTAGTTGGTAGGTTTTGTAATAAATATGTTTAAATCACTTTAGTGTAAGACGGCAGCCAGGTTAGTACGCGTTTCTCTCAGTCAGGCTTGGTAATGTTGACAAAGTCAATGTACATCGTGGAAAATTCCGACTTCCACAGCGAGATGAAATCATCAAATGCTCTCAGAATAATAACAAAGACAATAACAAAGCCACGTTACGTTACCATTACTTGTGACCGACGGGATGCTGCTCACGTTGGTTGTCGTATTATCATTGGCAATGCAATTACTTGCCGTTGACGATGTGGTAGAAGGCACTCCTGTTGTTACAGACTGATTTAAGTTGTCCATGTTCATGTTGGCGTTAGCTAACGCGCTAACCGTGGTTAACTAGCACCGAAATATGCAAAACACCACAAATCCGCGATTTATAGCTGTAAGACAAATATTTTACAAAATTCTGTTTTAGTATAACTCTACCCTTTAATTCAACGAAATGAATTACCAAAACTAAAAAAAAAAAACTATAACTCGTAGCAGAAGTGTTCCTAAGTCCTTTGCAGTAAAACGCTGAGCCACCACTGTAAAGTAGATCGCTTCACGTGACCTATAGTCATCCTCTTCTTCTATGTGTTTTATTGCTGACTGCACACCGCCTCCTACGCCCCCTGCCGTAGCGGAGACTGTAGGTTATAAATTAATACACTTTCTTCGTGATATTTAAAGCATTTAATTCAGATTTGTTCAAAATTATATTGTACTCACAAATATAAAATGATTAGTGTGTAATTATGTCTTCCAATAAATTGATGCATTCTCATAAACTTAAAATGAATCCATTATGAAGACATGGGATCAGGCTCTGGCTTGAATAAGCAATC